TTCCAATTGCAGAAAACTACTTAGCAGCATGTGTGGCTAACACTTCTAGAGAAACAGCAAATTTCTCTCCAGAGGAAAGGGGCCCCCAGAAGCCGTAGAAAATGGGACAAACGATGGAGAGGAAAGAAATGGAGAAGAGTAGCCCTTAATTCTGTGCATGACCTGACACAAGTTCTGGGCTCATTCTGAGTTGCTCACATGGAGAAAAGACCCACGGTTGGAGAGCAAAGGGTTTGAGAAATTAACTGACATTGGAAAATCCGCCCACAGAAGGTGAGTCCAGAAGAGGCTGAACATACCCGGGTTCACTGCCCATTAAATGAAAATAGCGTACAGTCTCCAGAGGATTTTAACACAACGTAATATGTGGGGCACCTGAGTGGCTCAGTCAGTTGAGCGTTCAACTTTGGCTCAGGTCATGATCTCATGGTTCATAGGTTCAAGCCCTGTGTTGGGTTCTGTGCTGACAGCTCAGAGCCTGGAGCCTGCTTTAGATTCTGTGTCTCCCTCTCTCTCTGCCCCTCCCGTTTGTTCTCTGTCTTTCTCTGCCTCTCAAAAATAAATAAATAAACAAATGTTAAAAATTTTTTAAAATAACATAATGTAATATTCAAAATGTCTAAGATATAAACTAAAGTTCCTAAACATACAGAAAACTGGAAAGTGTGACTGATTCTCAAGGAAGTAGACAATCAGATGTCAAGCTCAAGATTACCCAGGTACCAATTTTTTTTTCAAAGACCTTTAAACAACTATTATAGTCATACCCAAAGAGATAAAGGTAGACACTCATTATGAATGGAAAGATAACATAGAAACAGAAACTATTTTTAATGAATATTTTAGAACTGAAAAATATGATATCTGAAATAAAAAATTCATTGGATGATATCAAAAACACAATGAAGGTGACAAAGAAAAGAGTCAGTGAACTTCCAAACAGATCAATAGAATTTACCCAATTTCTCCAACAGAGAGGGAAAAGAAAGTGAAAAACTCAGAGTCTCAAGGTCTCATGGGACAGTATCAGAAATATCTAGTATTCATGATATTTAAGTCCCAAAAGAAAGGGACAAAGAGATTGGTACAGAAAAAAAGTCTGAAGACATAATGGCAGAAAACATAAATTTGGTTCAAGACATGAATATACAGCTGTAAGAACTCCACACAAAATCAACTCAAAGGAAACCAACTCATCAAATTTATGAAAAGAAAAGATAAAGAAAAAATATTGAAAGCAGACAGAAAAAATAACCCATTATATATATATAGGAAAAACAACTCAATGACTGCTTGGTTTCTCATTAGAAACCAAAGTTCTCAGAAGACAATGGAATAACATCTGTAAAATGTGAAAAGAAAAGAACTTCCAACTCAGGATTCAATACGCAGCACGCACGTCTTTCAGTAATAATGTCATAATGAAAACATTCTCAGAAGAAGGAAAACTAAAAGAACTCATTCCTAACAGGCCTTCTCTAAAACAAACGTTAAAGAAAATTCTTCAGCGTAGGATGTTCCTAGAGAGTTTAGAACTTCAGAATAAAGAACGTGCTACAGGGGAGCCTGGGTGGCTCAGCTGGTTGAGTTTCCGGCTTCAGTTCAGGTCACGATCTCACAGTTTGTGGATTCAAGCCCCATGTCGGGCTCTGCCTTGACAGCTCAGAGCCTGGAGCCTGCTTTGGATTTTGTGTCTTCTTCTTTCTGTCTACCCCTCCCCAGCCCATGCTCTGACTCCCTCTCTCTCAAAAATAAGTAAACATTAAAAAAGAAAGAAAGAAAGAGCAACAGAAATGATAACTATTTGGGTAATTGTAATAGACTATTTTTGTCTTGCATTGTTTAAAATATGTATAACTATCTGAAGCAAAAATGTAAACATTGTCTAGTAGAGTTATCAGTATATGTGGATGTAATATAAATGCCAACTATGACATAAAGGGGCATGATAATCCCTAGAGAAACTGCTTAAAAAATACTACAAAGAGTTAGAGTCTGAAAATTGATAGATAAATTTAAATGGATTACTAAAAGACATTCAAATAATTAAAAAGAAAGCAGGAAAGCAGGAACAGAGAAACACACATGCACACAAGAGAGGCACAAATCAAGCAAATAATAAGATGATACATCTAAAACCAACAATATCAAAGATTACATTGCATGTAAATGGTCTAAACACATAAATTAAATGACAGAGACTATCAGATTGGATTTTTTACTTTTTAATATGCTATATGCTGCTATATTAATGTTAGCCGAACTTGAATAGTCATAATAACGTATGCGCAACAAAAATGGAATTTTATCTGTGAATGAGGTGGGTCACCAAATACATTACCATCTGCCTAGTTGTAGAATATTTCTTGTTTTAATACCTTCCTTTTTTAAGGTTTGGCTGAGGTGGCTCTACTCTACCACAAACATGGCCAGGCCCACTGAAGCCAGTCAAATGGCTCTGATCGCCCACTCAACAGCCATTTGCTAACAGAGCTCTGATTCTGTTTAACCCCAGAGAAAAATCACTGGTCTGAGTGAATTGTAAAAATCTCATTTCCTTTTGTGAGTTGATGAGTCAGTCTTCGCCAACATGTAGGAAGGTCTATTGGGGCATCTAGGAAATAGATTTTTTTTTTCCAAGAGAAGAGAGAGAGGATGAGAAGGGGGAAAAAAAAAACCTACTTTTTTTTTTTTTCCTCCAGTGTGGACTCCCTCACTTTACTTTTGAAATTCTGCTTTGGGATACTTAGAGCTGTGGTAACCACTGCCACCAGGAAGGGAGCTGAATATGGCAGTGGAGAAAGAGAAGAGGGGTCTGATGAACCAACCTTGAGAGCTCCTGCTACTGGACTTCTGGTCAAGTACACAAGAAATATACTTATTGTTTAAGCCAATGTTTGGCCATGCATTCTGCTACCTGTACTCAAAGTATTATTAACTGACAAATGAGCAAAGGGAGCCTGATCTTTTTCATCACAGAATGTCATACGTGCACTTCTGCCTTTTGAGAACTGTTAGGGCCCTATTCTTTCCCCCTTTCTCAGCCACTTATTTTGGAAGGGAGAGAGATGACCTCTATGCCTAGAGAGGATGATGAAGACTAGAGTAAGAGGCAGAGTACTATACATTTATTGCAGAGCCAAAAAATACTGTATGAGTTAGGATTCATTCATTCAATCAAGTCAACAAACATTTATTGAGTGCTGATTGTGTCCTAAACTCTGTTAGGTGCTAGAGGTACAACAATGAGGAGAACAAGTTCTATGCTTCAAACAGGGGTGATAAACAATATGCAAATAAGTATATAAGGTCAGGTTGTGTTATAAAGAAAAGAGGCCAAATAATTGCATGTTGAGGATTCTTCTAGATAAAATGATCAGAAAATAACAGCTATTTCAGAACTTTATAGAGATTTGTGTCCTTTCCTGCTTTCGAAATTTGAGAAGTGATAAAGACACTTTGAAATTGCAAAGCCTTAGTAAAGTTCCACATTACAATTTAAGCTCAAAGAAAGCAGTAAAGCAACCTTTCTTTTGGAAGAAAGGAAAGAAGGAAGTTAAAAAGGGAGGGAAGGAGGGAAGAAAGAAAAGAGAAGAGAAGAAAAAGGAGGGAGAGAGAAAAAAAGAAAGAGAGAAAAAGAAAGAGAAAGAGAAGGAGAAAGAGAAAGAGAAACAGAAGAAGAGAGGGAGTGAGGGAGGAAGGAAGTGCTACTTCAGGAAAGGTTTTAAATCTCAGTACAAGATCAATCTGTGATAACAGCTCACAAACTTGGAAATTTAGTAAGAGAAGAACTTAAAAGGGTTAGAAAATGGCCAGATAGTGTCAGCTAAGCTAGATGGTAAAACAAAATTGAGACTAGAGAAGGAATGGAGCATTAAAGGACAAACTGAAACGAGGACAGGCGAAAGGAGCCGTAGGTGTGGAGAACAAGTCATCAAAACAACTAGAAATTTTCTGGACTGTGACACGGAGGTCAGGAAATCCTTTCGGGTGGAGCAGAAACTTGGGTAGCATATATTATTTAGAAACAACCTGATTCATGATCTTACTTATAGCAGGAAGAATCCGTGTTCTGGCTATTCCCTGCTTAGAAAGGCCGTGAGCCCAGAACTCCTTAGGGGTTGTACCAGGTTGAGAACTACACCCTTCTTTCTACAGCCCGCATTCTTCCAGTTTACAGGCTCTTTCTCAGGCTGGGAATTCCGAAACCCGGGAGAGGCGGGGCTCCAAAACCTGGAGGTTAGTAGTTGCCAAGTTAGCCATTAAATTTCCAGGCAGCCCCTCCCCCCAAAGCTCACAAGAGAATTATTGCTGAGTCCGATTTTCCAGGGCATGTCTTTCCCCCACGAGTATTAAATCCAGATTAAATCATAAATACACGCCAGTTGGAGCCGCAACTTCATATTCCAGAGCGAACCCTGCGACTTCTGCAAACACTCCCCCTTGCAGCCAGAAACCCCGCCCCCGTTCGTAACCATGGGAACGACTGACTCTCTGCGAGCCGGAGATTCCCGGTTCCGCCCCCTCCCTAACAAATATTGTTTCCCACTATCTGTCCACATGGGCGCACCGCCTAACTATTGGTCACTGCCCCAGGACTGTGCCTTGCTCCAGCCAATAAGCGGCCTGTGCACGTGTACGCCTGCGTATCCCGATTGGTCACCACTGCTTGATCACGCACTGCCTACCTGCGCCATCCGGTGCGTAGGAGAGCCTATGATATGACTCGGTGGCCATTTACAACCAATCCGCACCAGGCGGGGCTCACAGCCGGCCTATGGGCGCGCGCCGGGGGTGGGCTGTCCCGGCCCCTTACCAGTCCCACCTGGGTTTGTTAAAGCGATAGGCCCCACGGCGCGCTAGGGCTCCACCGGGCACCGCACAGCGGCTGCGGGGCCCTCGGCGTGCCGCGGGCGCCCGTGACAGCGGCGCAGCTCTGCTCCCCACGCCGGCTCCGGACAGCTGCCGACCTCCCCAGCGCGGCCGCATCGCCCGGCGGGATGGGCGGCGAGGCAGGGTCCGCGGCGGCTGTGGGCTCCGAGGGCCGCGTGAAGAGCCTGGGTCTGGTATTCGAGGATGAGCGCAAGGGCTGCTACTCGAGCGGCGAGACGGTGGCGGGACACGTGCTGCTGGAGGCGGCCGAGCCGGTGGCCCTGCGGGCGCTGCGCCTG